GGGCGGGGGGTGGGGGGGGGGGGGGGGGGGGGGGGGGGGGGGGTGGGGGTCTGTTCAGAGGGGCTGGGGGATCAGGCAGGGAATGGGGCATAGCAGGGGTCCCCCCATGGTCCCCTCCAGCTCTCCCTTCCCTGCCCCCTACTTACCAGCTCCAAGTCAGGGTCCAGCTCCCTGCTGTAGGGTGCAGGGACTGCCCAAATCACCAAAGCTCTGAATCTTTTCCGAATTGATTTGGAGAGCCTTGAGTCAAGTTGGGCTTTTTAATTGGTCTCCTGATTTGATTCAGCATCGGAGATTTGGCCACCAAATCGGGCTGAAACTTCTCCAAATCGAATCAGCACCTGAAGCTTTGCACAGCCCTAGTGGGTAACGCTGAGACAACCCAAGCAGGGTGTGGGGCCCAGGGCAAGTCAGCCCATGCAGGGCCCTGCTTTGATCCCAGATCCGAAGAAGCTGCCACTGCTGCCATTGGCGACGGCGGGGTGTAGGGGCAGGCAGTGAGCGGCTGGACATGGAGCAGTGCCTGGCTCCAGACTGCCCCTGCTCCACCCAGCTCCGTGGGGCCCCCCAAAGCACAAGGCCAGGGGCGGTCACCCCGATTTGGCCCCCCTAGGGACACCCCTTCCAAATATTAATTTTAGAAAATCATCTTTGTTTTGTCTTAATTCACCTTCAAAAACCCAGAATTAGCAAGGAAGAGAAAATCATTTGCTCATAAGGATTTTTGTTACTGAGAAACAGGCTGCAGACAGGAATATGTTGAATATGGTATTCATAGGTGTGTAATGATCTAAAATCAAATATAAAAGGCATGATTTTGGCAAAAATAAAACAGCAGATGCTTATAGCAAATGAGTTTGCTCTAACAGATTTCTCTTTTGATAACTAGGTCAGCTGTTTCTAACTGAAAATAATTTTAGCTAAAGGATTTTTCAGATCTAAGTTTTGTAATAGAAGAATAAGAAACAAATCCATAAACTTAAGGTATAATCATGTATTCATTGACATTGGCACAACCACATAGATTTAGAATTTATGTGTATTAAATATACACATGGTGCTTCATTCAACCGAAATATACATTTTTATAAATAACATTCACATTTTAATCCCTAGCATGGCACTTGCACAAAAGTAACCATACCTTTAGCAACTGCACAATTTGCACAAGTAACTCTTTGTAAAAGCATTTTCTTTAACATTTTCTTTATGTTTATGAGTCAGTATGTTCCAATATGCAGCAATTAACAGAAAGAAAATAACCTGACCATGTTACATAATTTATATCCATCTAAACTATACATTAAATACTCCAAAACAAAGGGAAATTAAATTTAGAAAAAATATCTTTTAATGCTCTGTAAATATTTTATGAAATATATAAAACCTGAAATAATTATCAAATGCATGCATAGGGTGCCTATCACCATAATATATAGGTACCAGAATACAGAAACTTCTATGAGCGCAAAGCTGAATCCTCATAAACCAGGGGTGGGCAATTATTTTGGGTGGAGGGCTGCTTACTGAGTTTTGGCAAGCCATCGAGGGCTATATGACAGGCAGCCAGGGGAAGATAAACATTAATTTTCTAAATTTTTTAGGGGCCCCATGGGTCAGATAGAATGGCCTGGTGGGCTGCATGTGGCTCACGGGCCATTTTGCCCATCCCTGTCATAAACTGTACTTTTTCCATCTCTTGAAGTGGCTCCTTAGACTTGTACAATGCAGTGGTTTGTAGTTTTTAAAAGTCTAAATTACCCTTTCCTTTCCTTTCGTATTCTTGCATGATGGAGTTGTTTCTGAATGTGTATAGAAGCAGTGATGGGGAGAATGTAGGGGTGTAGAGCCATTCTTGCCCCTGAAATGTAGAGTACATGTGTTTCTCTTGAGCTTGTAAGAGCAAGCTGTTATGCTCTCCTTTGCCCACTTCAATGGGGAAACCTTCTTAAAAGGGAAAGCATCTGAGATGAGATCTAAAGTCTATTTGGTGTAGTTTTATTTGGATTTTAGCTGACAAAGCTGCAAAGAGGCCTAAAACATTCTTCCATTATTTATCCTTTTAACCTTGGAAAACCCCAAAACCTTTAAGTCCTGTTGTGGGACATGCTGTACACTTGGCTCTCAGTCAAAGAACCCCATTTTGTGATCAGAGCTCCTGCATGCAGATTGACTGCTGTGCCTACACAAAGCACCTCTAATGGGGCTCTGTGCAGAGACACCAACTTCCCCCGATTAATGAATTGCAAGATCAGGGCCCACATAAACACAACCAACCATAAAACCCCCAAAAGTTTGTTTAATGGCAAAGGAGTATATTTTCTGTGAGATACTTTTGCTTTTTAAAAAATATTGCCCATGAAACACCATAGCTCCTTAGTAACCAGGCGCTCAAAATAATCTTTGCACACCTTGTGCACCTCCCTGTTCACCTACCAACAATAAATATATGTTCAGGGTGGCATTTGACTGGTGATGTTTTGTTTTTAAATAAATGTTCAAGTAACTGGTTACTGAAAGTATCATTTGGCAGTTGTGATAGTAGCACATTGGTAGGAGCTAGTCTTGGGGCTCTTGATCAGAAGACAAGGAGGCTCTTGTTCCTCCTGCTATTCCTGCAGCTCTAGAAAGCTTTCCTCCTGGGTCTTAATAATTTCTTCTTCTTTGCAGAGTGCAGTTTCTTTTTTGTAGCCAGACTCTACTGCATATAAGTTCTCCCTATCTTCATATACATTCACCTTGAAAATGGAAATTCAGAAGAAAACAGAAACAAATATGGTACTAAGATTTATATCCTTAAATTATTAGTAGCAGAAGATGCAGCTCATAGTCTAGGTGGACAATATATAGTGTAGCATAAGCAATGCTTTATCATTAGTTACATATCACTTCAGATTAATATAAACAGAAGCACTTTATAACACATGATTTCTAAAACTTATCATGGGACGACTTTAGAAATTCCACAGTGAATATCCAACTTTTAAAATATTTTATGACATCCACATGTCGGTAATGACTGTGATAAACAGTCCTTTTTAGCATCCCTTTCAAATTATTATTTTACAATATGCCCCTAAAAACCGAGTACAAAGCCATATTTTTGTTATAAGTAAATATCCATTTCTAGATACAATCTTGACACATTTATGTACCTTGTTTAAATTGTACTGGTATAAAGAGACAGGTTTTCCCATTCCTAGTATACATGCTATTTTCTACATCAAATATCCTATGCACACATGATTATCCTTAACAGAAAGTTTCCCAGAGATCTGATGCCAGGTATTTAAATGTGTCAGTTGCTTAATTTTCCCAACTCATTTTACCATATGTTAAATTCCCACTACTACATTTATTAACTCAAAAAGACTTCCTGGGATAGACAGCTCTCATATGGAAAATGAACTGTGTGAGTACAGAATCTGTACCTTCATTTAATTAACAGCTCTTAAAATTTGTAATGGGAATGTAGAAGTACTAGTGAGGAGAAGCTGTAGGAAATGACAATTTCATGTTGGCGTTCGGCTGTTAGAAGGCTGCTTGACCCCGAGGAAGGCAGTAACATGTCGGCAGGAGGAGTTAACCCTCTGAGAAATGGAATGTGGAGTTACCCTCCAGGGTGGGGATCTGGGAATGCTGATAGGGAGATAACAGGAAGGCAGTCCTCCAAGGCAGCGTGTTGACGGCTGAAGCAGTTTCTCTCCAGAATGTGTGTGTTGGAGGAGGTCAGGTGACCCTATTACACCTTTAGGATGAAATTGCGGCTTTGTTTTGGGGTGACAGTAAGGGGAAGTCCAACAATTCTATAATATACATTTGTGGTTTGGGTGGAGATAAATGTTTCCTGTGTGGCATATATTTACAAGAAAATGGTAACCACCAGGGCAAGGAAGGTGTTTACCAATCTGAACTAGAAGCCCTTAATTGTATGAATTGGCCTTTAAGGAAATAGTTGAAGGTGATGACATGAAAACAAGGATGCCAACACCTTGACCTTTAGTCTAAGAAACAGTTCACAACCTAGGAATGGAAGAGAGAAGCTGACACCATTCCCCCTACCCTACGCCCCCCAAGGTGAGTCATCAAACATCACATCCCGAGGTATTGTAACTGCAGCCTGATACAATAATGAATTTTCTAACTTCTTTAAGATCACAAAAGTCACAACTCAAAATGTTCAACCCTGGATAACAAAGCTAGGTGCCAGAGCCCGTCTTCAGGCTCCTAAATAAGAGCAGCTGATTGTCAGAAGTCCTCAGCACCTATGGCCCCTGTCAACTTGCTGGGCATCTGCATTTCCTGCACATCTTTTGAAAATCTATCCATTTTTATTTAGAAGCATAAACCCAGATTCAGATGGTTTGCTTGAAGTGCTGTCAGCCAATGAGTGCCAAGGAACGATTAACCTATTAAGGATGAGCACCCATTTTAGGTGAAATAGGATGGTTAATATGTGGCTGTTATCTGTCTGGGGCAGGCTGTGTTTATCTCATTCTTCTGCAATGGGGTCTTGGGTACATGCAGGGTACAGGGAGCAGTGAATCCTGTGGGCTGGAGTGATATGTCTGTGCAAGGAGGAGGCCTATTCTTCCTTTAGGTGCGTGAGGAATGGAAGATCTTATCCCTCCGGGTTGGGGTGACAGTGAGCCCTGTGCAAGGGGTGATGGTTTCCAGGGATACCTCTGCCTCACACTCAAACTGCAGAAGGGCTGGCAGGTGGAGACTCCTGGGGCTGTTGCTGTGGGCAGCCTGCAAGAGAGAGTTTCCAGGCCTCTTCCCCAGAGGGGGACCCTCACTACTCTCCTCTTCTCCCTGTAGGCTCACATCATGGGGCACGGGTGGGGCCCAGGCAGTGACTGCAGGGGGAGGAAGCGGAGGTGTGGCAACCCCCTCCTTGTGGCAGGTGGCAGCACGGTGATAGGAGACCAGCTCCTTGCTGAAGTTGACCCTCTCCACAGCTGAGCTGGCCGCAGAGCGGTGCAAGCATGGGCAGCCCAGCAAGCTGCCGAACGCCCGCCTGAAGTCTGCATTGAAAGCATAGATTGCCGGGTTCACAGATGAGTTGGCCCAGCCAAACCACACAAAGACATTGAACGTGGTCTGGCCCACGCAGGGCGATGGCTCCTGGGGGCCGTCCTCATCCCTGGGCTGGCAGAAGGGCACCAGGCAGTTGAGCACGAAGAAGGGCAGCCAGCAGCAGACGAAGACGCCCACGATGAGGGCGAGGGTCTGCAGCACCTTGGCCTCCTTGCGCAGGGAGGAGGCCGGCTCCCCGTCCTGCGATGGGCACCGCCCTCCGGCCTGCTCCAGGGAGGAGATGCGGCGGATCTGGGCCCGGGCAATGCGGTAGATGCGGGCGTAGGTGGCGATCACGACAGCCACGGGGATGTAGAAGCTGACCAGGGAGGAGGTCACGGCGTAGGGACGGTTGAGGCGGGTGTCGCAGCGGGGCAGTGGCCCCGCGTCCCCGTCCCCGCCAGCCCGGTGCCAATGCAGCTGCACGGGGACGAAGGAGATGAGGAGGGAGAGGGCCCAGGCCACGGCGATCATGGTGGCGGCCAGGCACCGGGTCATGCCGCGCTGGTAGCGGAAGGGGCTGGCGATGGCCCAGTAGCGGTCCAGGCTGATGAGGCAGAGGTGCAGGATGGAGGCGGTGGAGCACATGATGTCGAAGGCCACCCACGTGTCGCAGAAGCGGCTGCCGAAGAGCCAGGCGCCGCCCGCCAGCTCCGTGACCGCCCGCCAGGGCATGACCAGCGCCCCCACGCACAGGTCAGCCGCGGCCAGCGACAGCACGAACCAGTTGGTGAGGCGGGCGCGCAGGCGGCGGCAGCGCAGCACGGCCGCGCACACCAGCGCGTTGCCCAGCAGCGTGCCCAGCACCAGCGCG